CAGGCAGATTCCCAACCACTGCGCCACCAGGGAAGCCCCAAGAAATGTGTTTTTTTATAGGAATTTCAACTAGGTTAAAGCAGTAGCCCTATGTCAGTTTTGTAGTCACAATCCAAATTCTGAATGATGTGGGGCTGATGGGCTGATCCGAGAATAGTTTAGCTCCTAAAGATAAACAACGTTAACGGTAATGTTATAGTTTCCCCTAAGTAGTCTCTCACATGTGAAGCTGTATCTCTGTCTGTGTAGACTCGTCGTGAGTGCATTTGCTAGTAGATTGGAGGCGTTTCTGTTTTTCAAATTGAGATATATTTACAGGGAAAATATAGGACAAATTAAAATGATATTTAGCTTTCTGCAAGAGTTTAAATTGGCTTTTTCACATTTTGCATCTTATGGTTTTGCTATACTAAAATACATTCACGTAGCAAATAAGGAAATGTGAGTTTTAGAAGCAAGGTTACAGTACTTGGCTGTTCACATAACATTGATCCAGGGGTAACATCACGTGAGGAGCAGTTGGCAGTGCTTATTTTTATGCCTTCTGTTTTCTCTGCTACTAAGTTTTTATAACACGAGACTTCTACATTGATTTCTTGGGGACTTAGGGGGACTTTGAAATGGGCTGGAAACGCATTGTGTTACTGAGATAAGGTGGGGTCTCATTCGTCCATGGGTGCCTTAAAAAACCTGACTGATCTTTTCTTGATTAAGCAGGAGGATACCGTATTTACCCTTCATTGTTGGTATAAACCATTATTTTACTGAGAACCATTAGCTGTTTAAAACTTGGTACATAAATTAAAGAGGAGCTAAGTGGATCTGTGATCGTTGCCATTAGTAGCGTTTTAGATTATACAGGCAATTATTGTGTTCATTATCCCAGAGCAGCCCCTTCCCAGAGCCATTGTGGCATCTTAGACATTATGCACAGATTTTCCCTTGGAGATTAAAATTTCCAGTAGCGTATTTAATTTTGTTATCACAGTTGTTTCAAATCAAACAAATATTATGACAAGTGGAAGAAAATTTGCTTTACTAATATAGGAAACTACAAAAATGTTGAAAATTACTTCCTAGTGTACTTACCTTTTCTTATACAGTCATAATTACTTCAGCTGAGTAATAATATACCTTAGGGGTAAAAAGGTCTTGAAATCATAGTAAAAGCTATCTGGCCTGTTCAGATGTTCTAGGATATTTTTGAAAGAAAGAAGAGTTTCACATCAAAACTCAGGCTACCACCTTCTTTATAGAATTTGTAGCTTTAAAGTTAACTAGCTTTCATATTGAATAGTTTTTGAGTCCAGATTGCATTTTAGACAAATTGAAGAAACTTTTAAGGGTGTTCTAGTGAAATGAGTATAAAATTGAAAGTGACCTTTAAAAAAATAGTTGAAGTATCTCTTTTCTTCTCACTGTGCTTTGTTAGAATTGACCACCCCCACCCCCACCCCCACCCCCACCCCAAAAAAGATCATACTATATACTATAGCTCGGTTGCAATTATGTTCGAGGAAGAATAATCATAGTTCAGGAAGGCTCCTGAAAGAAAGCAGGGAACAGCCCATTACTGAGAAGCTGTGTTTTCTCTGCTAAACCTTTCATTCGTCCTTTAAATTAGAAGGGGTTGGTGAAGACGACATTTAGTTATAGTCACTAGTCAGGCAGTTGACCACATGTGTCCTCGTCAATTAGAAAGGTATTAATACTTTGAATTAGCTGAGTATCAATGTGCAGTGGGCTGCTTGTAATGTTTCCATCCTATATGGGTCATTTTTTCAAAGGAAACTTTGTCCTCATTCCTGACTGTTTTGTCCCAGCTCTTATAGTCCTTCACTGCCATGATGCAGGGGAAAGTGTGAGGCAGTGGTTATGCATTTTGCAAGACAGTGATTCTTTATTTTATTACAAAAAAGGCCAACTCTGGAAGGCCAGATTAAATCATTCCTTTCACTTTTTAATGGGATTTGGATGAATAGAGTAAAATATGCACTTTGCATTCATTGATAGCATCTTTACGTTGAGGTAATTGAGTCTTTTTTCCCTGACTGAATGAGTAATGACTTCATCTGACCCTCCGCGAGGCTTGGAACTTAGGCCGTCTTTGTCACCGCAGAGGGCCCGGGCTTTGAAACATGCTCTACTTCCCTGGCTTAATTTTTCTTCATTTTAATCCAAAACCCTATTTTTCTCAATAATTCAAGCATAAACTATATAGTAGTTGAAGTAGCGGAAATTGCAAGGTATTCGTCCTGGTTCTGCCGGTTTTTAAATGGAGTTGATAAATCAGGCGCCATGGTCCTGGCCGCCGCTCTCACGGAGCCCAGTCCCGCTCCACCGGGGAAGCTTCCAGAACCGTCGGCGCGGTCCTTCCCGCTGCTCGTCCCGGCCCAGAGGTGGCGAGCCCGGACCGGCTGGCCCCATTGCCCACTGGCCCGGTCACTGCGCTGGAAGTGACCGCTAGGGGGGCAGGGCGCTTCCCGCAGAGCCTTGCAGACACGGCCGGCCCGGCCGGGAAGGGTCTCATCTGCGCACAAGCTGCGCGCAGGAGACAGCGCATCTCTAGGACTTGCCTAAAGTCTCTGGGGTTCCGAGTCTGAAGAGCGCGCGCGACCAGAGGAGGCCGCGTGTCCCAGGCGAGGGGGCGGGGCCTGCCGGGGTGGTGGCTGTGGAGAGGAGGGGCCTGCTGAGGGGAGGGACTTAGTGGGGGCGGGGCCTTGTGGTGGGTGGGGCCTGGAGGGGCGGGACCTCTGTGGGTGGTGGCTTGGAGGCGCAGACGCTGCAGAGCGGCCTCGCCCCTGGCCTCGCCCCTGGCCCCGCTCCCACCTCCAGGGCCCTTGGAGGTGGGGACCCGTGGCTCCCAGACCACTGCGCAGACCCTGTAGTGTTGGGTTTGGTGTGGAGGTAGGGCGAGTGCGCTAGACAGACTTCCAGCGGTGTAGCTTCTGGGTCCCTGTTGTCATTCCTGTGGTTTCTGGAGCCTCTAAAGGCCGTGAGGTGTCAGCCAACAGCAGTGCTGATGACGGGCAGCTCTAAGAAGTGACTTCCCCCATAAGCTTGGTTAGAGAAGATTTCTCTTCTATAGGGTATATTACTGGTGTTCGCCTTATACTTCCTACTAGATTGGCTGTTTCTTGAAGGGTAAAATCTCATAGTTGACTCATTTTTCATAACCATAGAGTTCAGCAAAAAATGTAGTAGGTATTTAAACTTGCTTGTATAATGAATGAATTTTCTTCACTGCTGCACTTAACTGGGTTTTCTGACAAAGTTTTGTGCTTTCTTTGTAACTACAGGTCCTAACGTTCTCATGAGCCTTTGTGGCAAACCCTAATCAAAACCAGATATAAACTAAACAGTGAAGTGTGGAAAAGGCTAGCTTTTTATTGGCCAAAGACATGGTATTCAAAAGGCATTCCAAAATAAACTGGTATTAAGTAGGTTAGTAATTCTAAAAGTTTTAAATTTGAGAATAATAGTATAGCTTTGGTAATCATGTTTTCTTTTTTAATTTCTCTTTTTCAAAATTTGTACCAGATTCAGAAGAAACTCAGATGGCAGATGGATAACCGGATAGGATTCAGTCTTCTGCTAGTGTCATATAAATTACATATGAGCAGTTCTGTTAAGCACCTGCTGTGCCCTGGCCTGAGGGCGACCAGTAGTGACAGTGAGCTTTGCCACATTGTTTGGGCTTCTCCAGGTGCCTCTGTCAGGAGATGGGTAACAGCAGTTTGCAGAGGAGGGGAGTGAGGCTTAAAGAGTGTAAGAACGTTCCCCAAGGTCACACAGTTAGTGCCAGAGATTCAAATCCAGGTTTTAAATAATAATAACAATGATAATAGTAACGACAATAGTAGTAGCATGCATGCAGGCTTGCTCTCTACCAGAAGCTGTGCTCCCTGTGCTGTGCGTCCTCTCTTTCCCCCCGGGTCCTGTCAGGAAGACATGTTACAGCCCATTTTACAGATGGGAAAGCTGATGCTCAGCTTGCCCAAGGTTGTGCAGCCAGGTGGCAGAGCCAGACTAGCCTAAACACAGAGTCTTGAGGGATCTTAACTGCCGTACGGCGTCACTTGTCCTCTTTGTGGCTCTAAAGCCCTTCTACAAAGCCTGGCGCCGCCCTCCCCACTCCTCTCTCTGCCCCCCACGCTGCATTGCCCGGTAGTCTTTCAGCAATGACACTAAGCACGGAGCAGGACTTGGTGGAGGTGCTGGGCTTGAAATTGAAGCTGCATGCTTCAGAAGAGCTGTGTTCTCTTCACTTGTAGAATGGATGGTGTCTGGGTATCTCGTTCTTACTGTCCCCAAGATCCCACACAGAACGCACACAAAAAAGGAACTAATTCTTATTGACATAATTTTCGCTCATGTTTTGCTCAGCTGGCAAATGACCCACAGGATGAATTGGAGTGTTGTGTGCCTTACTGGGAGGACCTAAAGTACAGGACTTCTGCAAATTAACAAGTTGTCATTGCAGGCTAACTACTCCACCTGTTGCTTTTCTTCTTAATTAAGAGAAGTTCTTTTCAGGGAGGCTCTTGGCAGAGAGGGATGACAGACATACTGTCCTGTTCTGAAGAAAATCCTAAGTGATTCCCTGACGTGGCACGTGCAGAGGAAAAGGCGCGTGTGCTCCCGGAGAACTGGCCAGGCTGCCAGGCCGTCCGTGCGGCTCTCGTCCCGCATCCCCTTTTGTCCACTTGCTGGTCGTAACCTCATTATCTAGAGAAAGGATCTGAGTTTTTTGTGGTTGGATACTCAGGACTCGTGTTTTCTCAGTAGACTCTTTCTGGAAATGCTTTGGGGACCATGGGTCACTTTCAGAAATTCTCCCTAAATCTCTAAAAGGCTTTTCAGAAAGAAGTGTGAGTGTCAGGAGAAGTTTTCAGAAGAAAATGTAAAGTTAGTACATTTTTGTATTTCAGTATAATGAAAGCTAGTACAAAAGAAAATTTAAGAATGTGGTTCTGTCCTAACTCTTCATTTTCTTTCAGGTTGGTTTGCTGGACCTTGAGCTCAACCAGCTGACCAAAGCGCTGTTTTTGGCGTTGGTTGCCCTCTCGGTTGTCATGGTGACCTTGCAGGGATTCTCAGGTCCCTGGTACCGCAGTCTCTTCCGCTTTCTCCTGCTCTTCTCCTACATCATTCCCATAAGGTAGGTTTAAGAATGAAGAAAAACAGATGTCTGGTTTCACTGAATATGATGTTATTGAATGTATTGTTCTCAGTGTGAAAGAAATGATCCACCTAGAACGAAAGAGGGAACCCCATTGACCTTGCTGTGAACCCCATTGACCCTGCTGTGAACCCCACTGCCTGGTGTGAACCCCACTGACCCTGCTGTGAACCCCACTGCCTGGTGTGAACCCCACTGACCCTGCTGTGAACCCCACTGACCCTGGTATGAACTCCACTGACCATGGTGTGAACCCCACTGCCTGGTGTGAACCCCACTGGCCCTGGTGTGAACCCCAGTGACCCTGCTGTGAACCCCACTGCCTGGTGTGAACCGCACTGACCCTGGCATGAACTCCACTGACCCTGGTGTGAACCCCACTGCCTGGTGAAGCCCACTGACCCTGGTGTGAAGCCCACTGACCCTGGTGTGAACTCCACTGACCCTGGTGTGAATCCCACTGCCCGCTGGTGTGAACCCCACTGACCCTGGTGTGAACCCCACTGCCCACTGGTGTGAAGCCCACTGCCCCCCTGGTGTGAACCCCACTGACTCTGATGTGAACCCCCTGCCCGCTGGTGTGAAGCCCACTGCCCGCTGGTGTGAACTCCACTGACCCTGGTGTGAATCTCATTGCCCCGTGGTGTGAACTCCACTTAGCCTGGTGTGAACCCCGCAGCCCCATGTGAACCCCACTGCGAGCCCCACCCAGTGCCAGCTCAGCTGGCCTCCTGGGGCTGAGTCTCAGGGTCAGCACTGCCCATCTTAGCTGTTAACCCAGTCCTTCCCGCATGTCCTTCTGCAGCTGCCAACAGACAGCTCCTATTCCCATATCTCTTAAGCACATCTTTTTTTCTTGGGAATTCCCAGGGTTTTTTCCTTTGCTTTCATTAATCTTGTTTTTCTTTGTTTCTGTTGCTTGTATCAGTTCTGAAATGTTATGTGATGTCACCTCACTACTATTTCTGTTGTATGATGCGAAAGGCCAAGTAAGAACTCTCTTCCTTCTTGTTTCTGGGGCACTTCTATCTTTAACTGATAGAAACCATTGAACAATATTCAACTTTTATTTTTTTAATATTTTATTTAATTCTCTTTATTTATTCTCTTTATTTTTTTAATTCTCTTTAAATTCTTTCTTTAGTAAACTGACAATGTCAGTATGTATGTCCTGTTTTTCTTTTTAAGAGTTTCCTGTGCTCTACAGCAGGTTCTCATTAGTTATCTGTTTTATACGTAGTATCAATAGAGTATATATGTCAAACCCAATCTCCCAGTTCATCCCACGTCCACTTCCCCCCTTGGTAACCTTAAGTTTGTTCTCTACATCTGTGTCTCTACTTCTGCTTTGCAAGTAAGTTTGTCTGTACCATTTTTCTAGATTCCACATATAAGTGATATTATACAATATTTGTTTTTCTCTTTCTGACTTACTTCACTCTGTATGCCAATCTCTAGGTCCATCCACATCTCTGCAAATGGCACTATTCCGTTCCTTTTTATGCCTGAGTAGTATTCCATTGTATATATGTACCACATCTTCTTTATCCATTCATCTGTCGATGGATGTTTAGATTGCTTCCATGTCCTGGCTATTGTAAACAGTGCTGCAGTGAACATCGGAGTGCATGCTTTGTATATCCTTTTAAAAAGTCTGATTATATGGGACTTCCCTGGCGGTCCAGTGGTTAATACTCTGCGCTTCCACTGCAGGGGGCACAGGTTCGATCCCTGGTCAGGGAACTCAGATCCCACGTGCCGCATGGTGTGGCCAAAAAACAAAAAGTCTGATTACAAAATGAGAAAGGTACAAGGCTTTCTGCAAATCTGGCTTGTTCTAGTTTTTCCATCAACAATTTTCTATTTAGGGTAACATATTCAGTCAAGCTTGGAGAGACTTACTAGACAGAATTATGACTGTACCTCTGTTTAGCTTCATAATATCTCATGCCTACTTCAGCACGATACTTTTCCTTGTTTTTCACAGCCTGAGGATGCAATTATACAGATTTAGCAGAGGGATGAAAACCATAAAACGTAAAAAGTATAGAGGGCACTGATATAGGGGCCTAAGGCTTACATTTGACTCAACCAAGTTTACTTTCCCATTGCAAAGTTTCCATTAAACTATGAGTAGCGATACTTTTAGTATTTATGAAATACGCTTCTGCATTTAATAAACGATAGATTAAAAATTTTTTTGTTTTGCAAAATACACAATTCTGAAAAGTAAAGTGCTTTTTCTTCTACTGACCTAACACTCTTGTTTTTTTTGAATTTTATTTTATTTATTTTTTTGTACAGCAGGTTCTTATTAGTCAGCAACTTTATACACATCAGTGTCTACATGTCAATCCCAATCGCCCAGTTCATCACACCACCACCACCACCGCCCGTCACTCCCCGCCTTGGTGTCCATATGTTTGTTCTCTACATCTGTCTGACCTAACGCTCTTAAAAGGCTTTTCCAGCTTAAGGAAGAAAAGCTGTTTCATAGAAATTCTCTACAGAATTAAAGATGTTTGAGTCACCTGATCCAGTTTACTTTGTCTGTCAAGGAAAATAGTACAAGACATAACTCCTGTAACTCTAAAATGAATGTATGTTCCGTAGATGGTTGTGTCACTGACAGCACAAAGCAAACGATCAGAACACTTTACAGGGCACGTCAGAGTCCCTCAGGCCAGCAGCTTGCAGTTACGTGTCTCCAATGACGATGTTCTTTGTGCGAACGCGTTAAAATGCTGCGTAACAGTCTAGTCGGTCAGAAACAACCGTCTTGCCAGTGCTGGGTCAGGAAGGGTTTACCCACGTGCGGCGGATGTGGGCAGTACAAGCACGATGGTGTTCCACGAGGCGACAGCGCGTTCCTTCCGAGCAACACTTGAGAACCTCTTGCCAATAGGGTGTGTTTGTGTAAACGCTGATGTCCATGAGAGCTTGTGTGGCTTGGGAGTCAGTTTTCCTCTCATGTTCTGTAGGTCGGGCAGTCGGATCAGCGGGTGTGCAGGAGGCTTGCTAGGGAAATGCCCACACGCACATTCCACCATCTGCCCGGGGCAGCACCTGGTGCCCTGCTCAGAGCTCTGCTCGGTCAGTACACCAAGAAGGGAGTGTCGAAAACGTTATCTACACAGGTACAAAATTCGCTTCCAAAGTTGGAATTAACTTTCCTGAAGTTTTATTGAAGGAAGATTCTTAGGAGATTTTTGTCAAGTTATTTACAAGTCAGGTGCCCTTTCTGCGACATTTTACAAGTTTGAGCTAACCTACCAGATATTTTCAGTAAGCCCTCATTTTCCAGGAAGCATGCTTGGGGAAAAGAGTTCTTTCAACCTTACTTAGACCTAGGAATGATATTTAGGCATTGACGGCTTGGGAAATTTTCAGCCTATCCAGGTTGCAGAAGATGCTAATATTAGAAGATTCAGCGTTTGGAAAGCATGCACAGGAGAGAAGTCCAAGGATGTGACTGGACAGCCTTTTGCTGAAGAGATTAGGTGTGGTACTCATGGACCCACTTAGCCATCTCAGCAGAAGCGAGGAATAGATGGGGCTGTCCAGCAAAGACCTGTGGAGGAACCTTTTGTGTGGACATGTGGACCCCCATGACACACACGAGAGCCCCACAGAGGTTTTGAGAATATTATACCAGCAGTAACACTGCCAGCTTGGACTGGAAGGGACAGAGACAAGACAAGGTAAGAAGCCTGTCAGAATCCCAAATTCTGCAGGCTGAAAATGGGCTGATAGAGCTTCCTAGCTGTAAACATGTGCTGCGTTTTGGAAAAGGAAGAATAACTCAGAGGCCAGAGCTGGCATGGGCCAGACAGAGGGCTGTGGAGCTCTAATGCTACACCTACCTTGTATTCTTTTGGGGGGAAAACACAACTTGGTCATGGTATATAATACGCCTTCATGTATTACTAGGTTCCATTTGCTTGTAATTTTTGTGAAATTTTTGCATTGGTTTACATGAGTGAGATTGACTTATAACTTTCCTTCTCACATCATTCTTTTGGTGTTTAGTATCAAGATTATGCTATTCTCATAAAATATATTGATGAGTCTTCTCTAAAATATTTTTGTTTAAAATTGTAATTATTTATTCCTTGGACATATTTACATCAAAGGAGGCCATGTCAGCCTGAACTTTCTGTTGTGGAAAGATGTTTGACAGAGTTGATTTCTTTACTAGTTTAAATATATTTCTTAACTAGTTATAGTTTAAACAGTTAACTTTAAAGAGTTAGAAAAGCTGCTTTCAGGCTTTTAATTTCCTCTTGAGTCAGTTTTGGAAAAGTTACGGTTTTAAGGAAGTATGTCAACTGTACCTAAATATTCAAGTTTTTAAAAAAATTTATTTATTTTTTGGGGGCTGCGTTGGGTCTTTGTTGCTGCGGGCTTTCTCTAGTTGTGGTGAGTAGGGGCTACTCTTCCTTGTGGTGCAAGGGCTTCTCATTGCGGTGGCTTCTCTTGTTGTGGAGCACGATCTCTAGGTGAATGGGCTTCAGTAGTTGTGGCACGTGGCTCAGTAGTCGTGGCACGTGGGCTGTAGAGTGCAGGCTCAGTAGTTGCAGGCATGGGCTTAGTTGCTCCGCAGTATGTGGGATCTTCTGGGACCAGGGCTCGAACCTGTGACCCCTGCATTGGCGGGCATATTCTTAACCACTGCGCCACCAGGGAGCCCTCAAAGTTTTTAAATTAAATTTTGTTAATAGTGTTTTCTTGTTATCTCTTCTTATATGTAGGATCTGTGATATTGATCTTCATTCTTGATACTTATTTCTGCCCTTTCTCTTGTTTTTCTTGATTAGTCTTCCAGTGGTTTGTCAACTTTAGCAGTCTTACGGTTGAGTTTATTGATTTTCTATGCTATATAATATTTTTCTGTTTTATTCATGTTACCTTACCTTATTTGTTTCCTCCTACCTTCTTTGGTTTGTATTATTCTTACTTCTTCAGATAGATGCTTAATT